TTGTAGCGTTACATTTTAGAATAACCTGCCCACCTCTGAGGAGACTTGTGATGTATTTTCACTCGTATAGATTACAGGAAAAATATAGCGAATGTGATTGGAGGTGATGGTCATAGCGTTGTCAAGGAAAAACTAAAAAAAATTTTTTTCCTAATTTTTACATTATTTGACCTATTGAGCTGAAAATTGGTATACTAGTGTATTATTACAGTCTGACAACAACAAAATTATTTTAAAAACTTTTTTAAAAAAAATTTTCTTTAGTTAAAACACGTGGAATTAAATATTTTAAGGAATAAGAGTGAAATTTTAAGAGAATAAATGAGAGATTGTTTTCTCCTTTTAATTTCTTAACTAAAAATAAAAAAAATTGGACAAGTGCGAGTCAAAATCCTAATTATCTTTATAAATAACAAAATTCTTCCTCACTCTCTAAATCTGAATCAGTGAAATTTGACTGAGAATCAGTGACTCTATTCTCGCGATTTGAATCAGTGGAATTTCACTGAAAAACAGTTAAAAATAACTGAAATTTCAGTCATTTTCCACTAATTCGCCAATTAAAAAACTACTGAAAATTTCTGTCACACATATTGAAAATTTCAGTTATTTTTTAATTGGCCAATCAGTGAAAAATGACTAAAATTTTAATCATTTTTAACTGATCTTCAGTGAAACTTCACTGATTTAAATCGCGAGAATAGAGTCACTGATTCTCAGTCAAATTTCACTGATACAGATGTAGAGAGCAAAGTTAAATTATTTTCAAAAATGTCAACATAAAATTCTTGTCCTAATTTTAATTATTTTCAAAAATTTTTCTCATTTCAATGATTTTTAATATCTACTATTTTAATAAAATTTCCCAAAAGGAATTTAATTATTTAAAAAATATTTTAATAAAATTGTACGCAAACATTTCATTATTTTCATAAATAATAAAAATTTCACAGGAATTCAATTATCTACAAATTTTTAATAAATTTCTTCGTAATAATTCAATTATATTTTCATAAAAAATAATTTAAAATTGTAAAAAATAATAATTGAATTGAAATGAAGAAAATAATCATGAAAAAATTACAGTCACAATATTGTTATAATATAAAATAATGATTTTATCACTCGGTCATCTTTAATTGTCATAAAACATGAAGAAATCGTTCACTCCGAGTCTTCAACTCGAAGCAATCGATATAACAATAATTTTAAAAGTTGTTTAATTTCAAAAACATTTGAATTTGAAATAATATTTAAGAAAATTTTTTCCCTTTATTTTGGGACTATTCAAGTATTACGTAAGCATTTAAGGGGGTGGGGGGGGGTCTAGCTATTGCTTATTTTCATTAGAAAAAATGGCGCTAATGCATATAAAAAATCTTACGATGGGGGAGGGGAGGTCTAAAAACCTAAAAAATATGCTTACGTAATACTTGAATGGCCCCTTTAAAAATTTTTAAAAAGTTTCAATTTCATTTTCAATTAAAATTTCTAATTGACAAATAGAAATCATAAACATTATTTTCCTTTTTTATAAAAAAACTTTGAATTTTATTAAAGCAATTGTAATTACACACAAAAAAAAATATGGTAAATTTGACTACCTTTTTACTATTTCCTGTATAGTTTCTATAGGCGCCCGTAACATTATTTAGTAAAATGAACTATGACAGAATAGTTAGTCTAACTGTAAAATATAGTAATAAATACCATTTTTACAGTAAATTTAACTACTAAAACAGTTATCTTAACTATTTGTTGTTAGTCATACTAACTGCTTCATTTAGTTGCAGTAACTAAATTCTCATAGTTCCTATAGGCGCCCGTAACAAATTGTAGTTGTAACAACTGTAAAAAATAGTTAAATTAACTATTTAAAGTAGTAAAATGAAATTATTTATTTGTTTTTTATTATTATTGAGGTCCATTTTTTTACATTTTCTCTTACCTATTTTTGTTCATATATAATTTATATATTAAATTCTTATACACCTAACAGAGAAAAATCCCCAAACGCCGGGGATTGAACGCACGACCCTAACATTCGCAAACCGATAACCTAACCACCTAACCACGCTCGCACGCTACGATGACTGACATTTTACTTTAGGACATTCTTCTTAGATTCAGTCATAATAACTACTCCGTTTAGTTGCAGTAACTAATTTTTTAAGCTCAAAGACTTAGTTGAAATGTAGCCAGCATATGATTTTAAATGACTCAACGATAGTGCAGTAGTTAAAAGTTCTGTTGAAAATAGTTATTTTCAGAATTTCTGTAGTAAAATTATCCACTTTTTACTAGTTATAAAAAATTAAAGTTACTATTTTCATATAGAAAAAATAACATAAAAATTGTTACTTTTATGACTTTTGTAGTTATAAAAATAAATGTTTCTTACCACCATAGAGATAAATTATTAAAAGCTAGTAAGAATTGGTTCTTTTAACTACATTAAACACAAAAATAACAAATTCCAGCGGTTGTTCTTACTCTTTGGAACAGTAAATTTTAATTTATTTTGCAAATAGCAAGAAATGGATATTTCTACTACAGAAATTCCGAAAATAACTATTTTTAACAGTACTTTTAACTACTGCACTATTGTTGAGTTATTCACAATCATAACGTGTAGTAGTAATTTTAACTACATAAAACCTACTATTCAATTTTAGTTCCACTAACTATGGAAGTTTAGTTAAAATGCTGCTGAATATGGTAGTTTTAACTATATTTTTTTAACTGCACATATGTGGATGCTTTTACCACTCACGTTTTTTCTCTGTAGAAAAAAATGATCTTTTCAACTGCATAAATAGTAAAAATAACTATTTTCAACAATTGATTTTACTATATGAAAACAGTAAATTTCTTTCTTTCTCTGCAACTAGTAAGAAATAGTTGTTTTAACTACATAAATCATAAAAGTAACAACTTTCAGAGGTTGTATTTACTGTATAAAAACAGTAAGTCTCATTTTGTTTGCAACTAATACAAAATAGTTATTTTTGCTACCACAATAGTAAAATTAACTATTTTTAACAGTAGTTTTTACTACTACAGTATAGTTGAGCCATTTACAAGCATCTGTTAGTTATTTCAACTACGTAAAGTAGTTATTTTAACTACATAAAACCAACTACTTCATTTTGGTTCCACTAACTGAGGAAGTGTAGTTAAAATGCTGCTGAATATGGTAGTTTTAACTACTTTTTTTCTAACTACACAAATGTGGTTGTTTTTACCATTCGCATTTTTTTCTGTGTAAAAAATAGAAATAATATGCAAATTATTTCGCCTTATGAAAATTGAGAATTTTCTACAAAAATATTAAGAAACGGGAAAATGTACTGTTTTTCTCGCACCAAGAAAAGAATCAGTTTGTGAACAATATTCTTATTGAGAAATAAAAATTATGCATAAAATGGGTATATTTCCTACTTCTTAATCAAAATTTTTTAACATTTAACAATTTTCTAGTATTTTTTATAAATAAAAAGGAGAATAATTTGCATAATAATTTAGATCAGTCAAACAAAATTTTTTATAAAAAAATTATGTAAAAAACACAATTTATTTGTTAAGGGAGCGTTTACAAATGATGTCACGCAATTTTTGGATATTTTCGACCCCCCCCCCCTCCCCCTTGTCACGCAATTTTTGCAATTTTACATGAGAAAAATACATTGTGTCACGTTTAGTAAGACCCCCCCCTACCCCAATAGCGTGACATCATTTGTGAACGCTTCCTAATAATTTTTAAAAAATTTTTTAATTTCAAATATTATTTTATTATAAATAATGAAACAATACCTGCATATTTTCGATTTGTCAAACAATATTTTTTAAAGAAAAAAAAAACAAAAGCATACACAAAAACTAATTTCAAAGTGTGGACAGACAGAATTAATCAAATACGAAAATTAGTAGATATAGTTAATTAATAGGAGTTAAAAATAAATTTTTTTTGGTTAAATTGCACATTTTGATGATAGGGGAGACTGGGGCGAAAAGTTAAATTGTGAAAACAGTTAAAATTCATTATCTTTAGAACGGAAATAGTTAGAGCATTGCAATTTTAACTGTAGAAGGGTGTTATCACCCTAAATAAATGTCCGGAGTTATGTGACATTTTGCTAATTTTTGTGGTGTCCATATTTAAATTTTTTTTTCACCCTACTCTTGAAAATTTTTTCGTAAAAGAAAATATCAACTTTTAAGTATATTTTTTGCATTTATTCTCACCGCGATTTTTTTACTTCATTATTTGGGGCCCTGAAGAGATACCTAAAGGTATTTGCTAAATATCTTTAGTCAGATTTTTTATATTTGTTGTTAAAACCAAAAACGCACCCTGGGGCGAAGTGTTAAATAATGGGTGGGAAGAAAAGTTGAATGTATTTTTACATGTTATTAAAAAATTTTTTTTTAGTTTTCGTTTTTTTGGGTTTACTTGTTTAAAAATGATTTATTTGACATTAGGCAAGTACTCTATCAAAAAACAAGACCGCTCACGTGAAATAAACCAAAAAATTTTTTTTTTTTGAAATTTCAATTTATTAACTTTATAACTATTCTAAAGCTTTTGTTAAGTAAACAAAGATCTTTTCTTAACTAAATTACTTGTTTACGTATACTTTAACTTATCTACTACTTAACACCTATCAGAAAATAGTTTTAGTAGGCTAAAAATACAATTTAACTTTTTGCCCCAGCCATTTAACTTTTCGCCCCAGTCTCCCCTAATAGCAATAATTATTAATAATAATTACAATTAAGTTAATTAAATTAATAAGGGGCCATTCAAGTATTACGTAAGCATATTTTTGAGGTTTTTAGACCCCCCCTCCCCCATCGTAAGATTTTTTATATGCATTAGCGTGGAAGGGAAGAGGGAGGAATTTAAATAAAAGAGGGAAAAAAATGTCTCGTACGAGAAAAACAATTGATTTGCACGAACATTTCATACTCACAGCTTACTTAGAACGGTAAATGCATACCTTTGGTCCCGATAACTAAAGGATTTCCTAGGAAGATACTAGCATGTCTTATGTCCTCAGCCTCAGCCTCAACCTTCTCCTTGTTCTTGTCCACCAAAACGATCTCACTCGCTATTCTCTGTTCAACATTTTATTATACATCATGATCAACAACATTTGCCAACACACAAATATACTGTTAACTATGAATATTTCTCTAAAATTAAATTTATTTTGCAACGAAATAGACCAAAAAAATATTTTACAAAATATATTTTCGCAACGATAAAGATTGGAATATTCCAATTAATTTTTCCGAATATTCGAATAAATACCTAGTTGAAAAATAGTAGGAAAAATATTACAAATTTTTAAAATAGTTTTTCCAGGAATATTTGCAAATATTTGAAATTATAATGTTCAATGAGATTTTTAGAGCATATTGCAAATTCAAATTCAAGAAATACTGAATAATATTTTGAAAAATATATTTAGTTTTTTTTGCTTTTTGGAAATTCAAAATTGCTTTTCGTGGTAAATATAAAAATATTCTTGTATATTATATGAAAAAAAGCATGGAATGTGTTCTTTCCTGATGAATATATGCACAAGATTTTGTATTAAATTACCCTCATCAAAATAGCAATGGCGCAAGCCATTCCCACGTTTCCGGCACCAATGATGGAAACCTTAAGTTTGTGTGGGTAAGTTTCACATGGTCCTAATTGCGAACTTATTAATGCATTCTTTGTCGTCGTTGTCACAGTCTCAGAGTGTGCAATCTAAAAGGAGAAAAAAATAGAACAAGAAGACATTAAATTCATATGGCGAGTTTTAATTTTGCTTTAGAAACTGGAAACTTGAAAAAAAAATTATTTCTATTAAAATTTGGAAATATTTATTCCTATGGTAACTTGGGAATATTTATTCCTTCAGAAATTAATGAATATTTATTCCTTTAGAAATTAATGAATATTAATTCCCATTTTCCTTAGAAATTATTTTAGAATATTAATTATCCTTGAAAATTGTGGAATATTTATTATATTTCAAAAAATCAAGGAATATTTATATACTAAGTAATAATAAAATAATATTAGAAACTAAATCAATAATAAATAGAATAAAAAATATTAAATGAATAAAAAACAAAATAGTAATAATTTATTTATATAGAATATTTGTTAATAATAATAATAATAATAATAAGTAGCTGATTTCTCACCCACTTCTTTAAATAAAATTATCAATTTTAAAAATAATAGAACGTAAAAATTTTTAATTCAATTTTTTTTAAAAAAAATAAAATATGAATTGGAATATATGCTTTTAACTTTTAATATTATTATAATTATAATAATCATATATTCTGACATAGAGAATTCAGGAAAAAGTCACGAATTTTTATTAAAAGTACTAAAAAATATTTAATTTTTAGAATTCATAAGAAAATTCTGAATTTTTGTATATTTTTTCTTGACTCATAAACTATAAAATTACCACGAATTCTAATGGGTGATTTGCACGTAACTGTAATATTTGACAGGGTCACAGAAAACACATTCAAAATAAAAAATTTTTGCTTTGGTATGGATACATTTCACAGGTATATATAAAACCTATTCGCAACCACAAATATGTACAAATAGATATTATAATTTTTGATGAATTGCGGAATTCCCTCCAAAATTTCAGCTCCGTGGCGTGTCCGTGTTTTTTAAAATTTTAAGTTAAAATTCAGAAATTTTATTGAAAACGCCGAAACTGGAAACGAGAATTTTTGTAATATGAATTATGTATATCGTTCCGGTACAAAAGGTCCAAACTAAAAGATCCAAACTAAAAGATCCAAAAAATTAAAAATCCAAAAGTACAAAAAGTCCAAACAAAAAAAAATATATTTTTTATTGACATATCTTTATGTTATTTGACCTCAGGAGTTCAAAAATGATATTTTTAAAAAATGTCATTCCGTATGTGTTTTAGACGCATTTTTTGGGCCCGAATTGAATATTTTTCGTCCATATTAACCGGAGGTATTAAACTTTTAAAAATCTAAAACTTTGGAAACACCATTTACATATTTAAAGAATTATACATATTTTGGACAATTTGCAATTTTGGACTTTTTGTACTCTTGTATTTTTTGTACTTTGGATAAATAAATTTTTGGACCTTATGGATTGGACCTTTTGTCTTGGATCTTTTGGATTGGATCTTTTGTACCCCAATCATGTATATATATAGGTAAACAATTTGTACATATAATGCATCTTCTAATACTTCTTATAAAATTATAAAATGTAAAATAGTTTTGTCCACAAATTTTTTCAATTTTGTAATAAGATTTTTTTCCCTATAATTTAACTGTTTATGGCACATTTTAATGTTATCTGAGAATTACAATCTAAAATAAGATCCATTAGCAACAAATATCAGTAAAAAAAAAGGTTCAAAAATTGGAAGTTCTACACTCAAAATCAATTTTTTTGTAAAAATGTGAAGGTCACAAAAAAAGTGATCAGTACCGTGGTATTACTATTCTTTTAATCTAAACACTCTCTGTTGAAATTATTACGATTTTTTGAAGATTACAATATAGAAACAAATTATCTGCCCAAAGAAAAGAATTATTTTGCAGAATTGTCGGAGTTAGGTTAGTTTAAATGTCAAATTTCAGCTCCGTGGTGTCACATAAAATATCAGCTCCGTGGCGTACAGTGTGAAGGTGCAAATTCATGGATCAACAGTTGCTACAATAATACATATTATAGAAAAGGACAGACATAGTTGAAATAGTTTTAAAACTAATTTGAAAAACTTATAAATATTAATTAAAGTTAATTTTTTGCCGTTATGTTCCTCACCGGTTGAAGTTTTAATCGTTTTAAGGATTTTAATTAAATTATTTTTGGTTTTTTGACAAAGAAGTTCTTTTTAATAATTTAATTTATTAAATATACCTCGTACATAAAGTAGCCCCAGTTGACGGCAGTATTATTCAATGCATATCCCAGGCGGAAAAGTCGGACGAATGTCGGAATTTACAACCGGCTGGGATCCGCGCCCGTACAGACCGCAAGTACCGACGGTCTGTACCGATTCGGATCTGAAAAAGCAACCGGCGCGGTACAGATTATGCTCCGACTGTCGGAACCGTCTTCCCACTATTGTCAGTACCGGCTCGGTACTGGATTTCTTCCGCCGGCGGATCTTATTCTTCTGCGGCGTCGGAAGAATGACGGATATGTTTAGTCTGTACTGGCTCGGTGCTGGGCCGGATCCGACTGCGGATGTCGTCATTTATTGTCACATTATAAATCACATTATAAATTTATTTTCAATAAATGTGTCATAACTAAATAATTATTACAATAATTAATTGCATTATTTTAGAAAATAATGATTAATTAATAAATGAATTTAATCAAAATATTAAGTAATTATTTATTGAGACTTTTTTCAAAATTAAACAATTAAAAAAATTTGTTGTGCACTTATACTTTATAATTATTATAAATAAATTTATACTATTAATATAAATTTATTATTATTGAGATATTATTAATTAATATTATTGAGAATTAATAATAAATTATTAATATTAATAAATATTAATATTCATGTTAATAATTTATTATTAATTCTCAATAATATTAATGTTAATTAATAATATCTCAATGATAATAAATTTATTATTATTGTGATATTAATTAAAATTATTAATATTATTATGTTCAATATTATTATATTGAGATATAATTATTTAATATATTATATAATAATAAAAATATAGCTGTAGCATTGACGCGTAGTTATTCGACAAGTTTTATTTCAGCTTGTGACACTTGAGAGTATTTAAGATTTGAGAGTCCCATGCGAGCGTAGCATAGTGGTTAGCGTGCGAGATTTCGGTGCGTAAATATTCGGTTAGGCGTAGGTTCGTACCTCCAAGCGTTAGGATTTTTCAAATGTGTATGTAATAAAAAATTGCGTTTAAGTGTATAAAAAACTAAAAAAAATGTGTAAAGTGAACTGTCAATGAATTGTCATTAGTATTTATCTTTTGCAATTAATTATTATTTTTTTTATTGATATTTGTTGAAATTATCATTTGGATCCGATCCGGTTGTCAGTCGGTAGAATGCCAGCGCTCGGCTGGCTATTAAATGAAAAATCCGCGGTCGGTAGAGTGCCAGATCCCAGCCGGTTGAATTATACACGGAACGGCTTCTCCCGGCCGGTCAGCGGGCGGTAGAATGCCAGTTCCGAGCCGGTTGCCAGCGCGCTCCTGGCCTAGTCACTATTCGGTAGAATGCCCGTTCACATTCGATTGGCAGGCGGTTCCGAGCCAGTACAGTTACACCGGCGTCAGTACGGGCTAGGACCCGCGCCGGTTGGAAATTTCCGCCTGGGAAGGGTGGTCAGCTCCGTGGCAGCAAATTTTCGAAAATTTGTTATAATTTTTTTATAATTATAGCTGTAGTAAAACCGTTCAAATTACAACTATATTATGCCCTAATGATGAGGAAAAGTGATATTTAACATTAAAAAAACAAATTTTTTTTTCTTTTAAAACTGATCTTAAAATTGCACAGTTACGTGAAAATCACCCTAATACAAAACCTTCAATTTTTTCAATTTCTGACAACAATTTTTTTTAAATAACTTAAATATTGAACAACTATCATAAAATAAATAAAATATTTAATGAATAATTTTACTTAAATATTTCAAAATTAATTCAATTTTAAAAGAGTTGCGTTTACAATTTTCATAAATAAATGAACTTCAAACGGTTTCAATTTGAAATTTTATAAAATTTTAATGTTGAATGAATTTAATTAGAAATTTTAATCAACTTAAATTTTTGAAAAATTTAATAATTCAAAACCTTCTGAAATTAGTTAAATTTGTCAATATGTATTTAAATAATTATTAAAAATAATGGATTCATAGAAGAATTTTAGTTGAAAACACTAAAAAAATTGTATTTTGAAGAAGTCCTCTATATTATATTAAGTTAAAGAATGACCGACCGACCGACTCACACCTCTTTCTATTCTGTCTAACATCTATTAGAATACTTCACTCACAAACATGTTCAAAAAACATATATAACATATATATGTATATCTTTTAAAAACAATATTAACACAAATGTATACATATTCACAAATCACGCATGCGCAGTAATGTTATATCAATGTCAGGCATGCGCAGTAGTGTTCTGTCAATGTCACGCATGCGCAGTAGGGTGTCCCAAAAAAATAAAAAGTTTTTTTTTATTGGGTCTCATCCCCTAAAAATCTTTCAATTTGTGTAAAAATAAGAACACAATATTTGGAAATAAAAAATTTTAATATTAACCCGTGGTTCAGAGCCTTTGGACCATAAAAGCGTTAAAAATTTAGTGTTTTTTCATTTTTAACATAAATATAAATGTAAAAATATAATGATTAGGGTGTCATTGTAAAGATAATTAAATTACCTTTCGATCCATATGTCATAGTATAAGATTCAATGAAAATTAAGAGTGTTACAGTTGATTAAAGATCAAATTTCATGAAAATTTTGATGATTTTTAGACACTTAAGTAACTAGTACTTTCTTCACATTAAACAGTAAAAAATATTTAGATTTTAATTTTTTTATTGAGAGTCTGTAACATTACAAAAATCCGTAATTTAATCGTCGATTAAATTCGTCTCAAAATCCGTTACCCGATTTTGAGACGAATTCGATCGACTTTTATGAAGTTCTCCGACATTTTGAAATTTGA